TTTTCCATGAGCTTCTGTTATATCTTCAAAATTACATGCCATCTTCCTTCTTTCTCTGCACATGGATGAACAATCAGAAAGAGGATTTTTCTTTTTGCATGGGGGGTGGACTGTATAATTACTCTAATCATTTTCCTAAAAGTGATTTCACCATTAACTTCTCTTCTCCCCATAGAAGTAGAAACATATTTTACAAAACTATGTTTAGTTTAATTTACACATCCTTTTATGAACAGACCAAGTTCTTTAAGGGCATTTATTCTGCTTCATATAAATAATTGATCAGCCAAGTTAATTTACTTCTGCCTGACTTGGTCAACCTTAATTAACTGCCCTGGAATCAAGACTGAACTTTTTGTTAGCTTAAAATCTTTCACAAGCATGATAACAAGGGCTTTATTTTCCTTAAATTTTCAGCATCAACACTGTAACCAAGGAAATAATCATAATAATAAGGCCCTGCTTTAATTTACTATAAATACATTGGCCTGGACATTATGAATTTTCCAGAATACTTCCAGAGAGCAGCTCTGCTAGCAACAGCAGTAAATAAGCATGCTAAACTCAGTCCTTGTCCTTTTCTACAGGGCCCTCCAGCACAAAATCGAACCTCTGAAACCCGTAGCTCTGTAATGTTTCCAAGCAGGAGGAGAAGTGGGTCATTTTGGCATCTTTAGGCTTTTTGACATCTATGCAATTGCAGCATCGGCCTTTGTAGGGTTATGTTGAATGGATCACGTGATTTAAACAGGCTCAGCTCATCTGGCAATACCATACAGGAAGGCAGAGGAAGGTTTGGTCTTGTTTCTAGAGGAAGGACTTGTTTGTGGGTATGGTGTGGCCATACCTTCGTATTCAGGCACTTTGTACGATTCTGCAGTGTTTCTTGCCGTCAGTTTGTCATGGAGCAAGGCATTTGGTTCGTTATAGGGTTAGTTACTCCCCCAGAGAGAAGCAGAGGTTATATAAACTGGATGCCTGGGACAAGCTTCCTTGAAGAAAAGAGGGTGCAACATCCCATGATAGAGAAGACAGATGCCTCTCCTGTACATTTCAGATGACTCTAATAATGGAAACTCAAAGGAAAAACACAGTTGCTTGCAAATGAGTGCAGATGCTTTATATCATTGTATTTTAATGCTTTTCCTTGTCCACCTGCCCCTTTCATTGCTGTCTTTTCTAGAATTTTTTTAGTTTTCTTTTCATTAGTTCCCTTATTCACCACCCAGCACAGGCCTTTACAAACTGGAGATTCTTAAGTCATTTATTGAATGGACAAGTTCATGTCTGAAACAGAGAATAGTTACAGCTACATCCATCCCTTAACCGATTGAGCTTTAATTTTCTGATCTGTGAAATGGGGATAACATTTACCTGCCTTATCTCCCTCCTAGCCTTGTTATGAGTTTGAAAAGCACATCAGCGGGCTTTTGCAATTTGTGAAGTGTGATAAAGATATAAAGGCTTATTAAATGACTTGGAGCGTTTGATAGAAATACTGCTGGCCCAGACACTGATGGAAATGTTCTTAGACATTGACACTCCTATTTTTTCACATGTGCTTTTCGAAAAGCTGTTTTCTCCTGATTGGTGTGGGAGATTATGGGAAATTTTAAATCTTCCAACCTACATACTACTGTTAGCACTTGACTAATTAAGGACATCCTCAGACCAAAATAATCCTTTATGCAATTTTGGTCCCAAAGCCTGCACTCTCACAAACCTGATTCACAAGCCAAGCTGCTTGGCTTGATGCCTGCAAAACTTGTACTGGAGGACTTGGCAGTCAGCTTTGGAACTGCATGGAGCAAAAACAGGGCCTTCTCATCAAATTGTGTATTGGAGACTGTTCTTATTCCACCCACCAGAATGGTGTCTCATCAAGGAAACAAAAGCAGGACCAGTCTCTTAGGCACCTGCTCTCAGGCCTGGGATCCCGATGACCGCATAGTCTGAAAGCAACATTCTACCTGCAGCTCTCTTCCCATCACAACAGGATATTTGGCTAAATATGCCTCATGCTGAGGGCAGGTGTAGAGTTTGTAGCTTTTGTCTTTTCGGGATCAAGTCCTTGGTATGGGGAGGTATTCCCAGAAAGAAAAATATCCCTGTACCTATTTTATCTATATCTATAGATTTTTATTTACATATATTTGAGATATATCTTAATAATTAGATGGATTTCCTTGCTACCTACTCTAAGACAAATGCTCTCTTGCGTAAACATCTAACACTGTGACTCTTCCTTAGTTCCTCCCCTGCCCCATTTTTTTTGAGACAGAGTCTTGCTCTGTCACATGCTCTCTGCTCACTGCAACCTTGGCCTCCTGGGTTCAAGCACTTCTCCTGCCTTAGCCTCCGTAGGAGCTGGGATTACAGGCATATGCCACCATGCCCGCCTAATTTTTTTGTATTTTTAGCAGAGACCGGTTTCACCATGTTGGCCAGGCTGGCCTCAAACTCCTGACCTCAAGTGATCTGCCTGCCTTGGCCTCCCAAAGTGCTGGGATTAAAGGCATGAAACACTGTACCCAGCTCTTTTCCTTTAGTTCTGCACAAAGGGCAAGTTTGTGGAAGAGAGACTGAAACACCCAGGGAAAAGTACCTAGGTTTCACAAATTCATTTCTTGAAATGAATTTTTTGGTGATGAACAAGGCACATGTGTTGTCACAAATTATCTTGTTACCTGGTTCTTATATCTTAGGGAAGATTTTGGTTATTTTTGATAGATTCTTTTCTCTATGGTCCGTAAGAATATAAGTGCAGTTTCTAAAGGACTATAATTATTAGAAAGTCTGATCTGAAGAGATGAGAAAACAAATAGTAAAAATCAAGAAACGAGAGTGAATCAGCTGTTGCTTCTGAGTTTGTTTCCCACCTGCTAGTGAAAAATGCCACTCTTAATCTACTTCAGAATTGGATCAACTTAAAAAATATATACATCTTTTGGGTTTATGAAGTCTGTATCAAGTTGGATCATGCTATGCAGTGAAAGGAAATGAAGAAAGATGTGAATTTTTCTGCCTTTAATTTTTCCATTTGGTTTTTGTGCAAGTCTGCAGAAAACAGACTTCATCCAGTTTCTAGCAAGAAAACAATGTCCTCTAAAGATACCCAAAGATTGAAATTTCCCTGTTGTCTCATTTCATGTACGGGGCAGAAATCTGTAGCATTGGTTGTACATATGTCCTTCCACGATTGGAACACATTTAGGTAAAAATTTTCTGCCCTTTAATCTGGGATTGGTATTTCACGTTAAAGTCTTAATTACTCAGGCATTTCTCAGCTTTCACATTTGAACCCCTCACTTCCTTTTATGACTGGTCTATGCACTTGGGGCATGACCCTGCCATTTTCATTGTTTTGCCCCCCACTGAACCTCAACTTTAAAAATCCTCGTTGTGGGTAAGAACTTGGACTGAACTGAACTGGTTCAAATCCTGATTCCACCATTACTAGCTGTGACTTGTAGTGGACAAATTAAATAGCTTGTGGAGCCTTAGTTTTCTCATCCGCAAACTGGGGGTAGCAATTGTCATCCGCACTAAATTAGAGAATGTGTGTAAATCACCCACATTGCGGCCTGCCTGAACGAACACTGGTGATCAGTAGATGGTAACAGTTGGTATTAACAAATGTTATCTGTCTTTTGTCATCTTTGGACATGTTTTCTGAGCCAAGTGCTGAATTGGCTCTCTGGGAAAATGGTTTTGTGCCCAGAGAGTAATAAGAATGAATGTGAAATGCATTTACGCCCAAGTGATATTTTATAGCTGCTCATTTTGCAGTATACATTTTTCTTTTTTTTTTTTTCTTTTGTTTTGAGACGGAGTCTCACTCTGTTGCTCTGGCTCTGTTGCCCCGGCTGGAGTGCAATGCTAAATCTCGGATCACTGCAACCTCCACCTCCTGGGTTCAAGCAGTTCTCATGCCTCAGCTTCCCGAGTAGCTGGGATTACAGGTGCCTGCCACCATGCCTGGCTAAATTTTTTTTGTTTTGTTTTGTATTTCTAGTAGAGACAGGGTTTCAGCATGCTGGCCAGGCTGGTCTCGAACTCCTGACCTCAAGTGTTCCACCCGACTTAGCCTCAAGCGTGAGCCACCATGCCCAGCCCCATATATATATAATATATATATATAATATATATATTTTATATTTATATATATATTATATATATATATATTATATATATATATTATATATTATATATATATAATATATATATATTATATATATATAATATATATATATTATATATATATAATATATATATATATTTTTTTTTTTCTATTAGACTTTTAGTACTTTTGACCAGGCACTGTGGCTCACAGCTGTAATCACAGCACTTTAGTAGGCTGAGGCGGGCAGATCATCTGAGGTCATGAGTTCAAAACCAGCCTGGCCAACATGGTAAAACCCTGTCTCTACTGAAAATTCAAAAATGAGCTGGGCATGGGGGTGGGTGCCAGTAATCCTAGCTACTCGGGAGGATGAGGAAGGAGAATTACTTGAGTCCGGGAGACGGAGGTTGCAGTGAGTAGAGCTCTTGCCACTGCACTTCAGCCTGGGCAACAGGGCGAGGCTGTGTCTCAAAAAAGTGTAATATAAACAAATAGTGCCTGCACATGTTGAAATTTAATGTTTATACCTAATATGCTCTATAGGATGACTTGCTGGTTTTTGAACAAAGAAACCAGGTATAAGAAAAATTTAATCTTGAATTCTAGGTTTACCCACAAATATTTAATTTTTCTAAGGGTAATAATATATTTAAAACAATACTACTGAACCTTAAATTGGGGAATGACAGTTTCAGACTCAGAGCCTGGGGGCCTGGCCCACTAATGAGGGGATAAAATGAGGGAAAGAAAATGACAACTGTTTACAGATTTTGGCAACATTTAAAGCAAGGCCCTTCTCCTTATGCACAACAACTGTTTTAACAGCTGCTTTTTTTTTTCTTCCCCCTCCTCCCCATCTTGGAAATCCTTGTATCAGGTTTTTGAGTCATGATGCAAGAATCTGGGACTGAGACAAAAAGTAACGGTTCAGCCATCCAGAATGGGTCCGGCGGCAGCAACCACTTATTAGAGTGCGGCGGTCTTCGGGAGGGGCGGTCCAACGGAGAGACGCCGGCCGTGGACATCGGGGCAGCCGACCTCGCCCACGCGCAGCAGCAGCAGCAACAGGTACTGGGCTTCGGACTCCTGGGAAGTGGAGGGTGGTGGGTGCGAATTTTACCGCTGAATTTTGCACTTAACCACGATCAGTGTTTTCTGCTCACCTGTCTGTTCATCTTTCTGTCAGCGGGATCTCGTAAACCATCAGTCCTCTAGGGGTCCCAGCAGTTGGCTTAAGAGACTAATTTTCAAGCCCTTGGGAGTTGGAAGGCTTGCAGGTCCCCTTGTGGGGAGCAGTTGTTGAGAGGAAGTTGGAGTGGACCTGTGTCAGCCTAATCTGTCCCTGTTTGGAATAAAATTACTCTTTGGAGAAATGGTTCTCAGGGCTTTCATACAAAAATAAAAATAAAGCAAAAAAACAGGCTTAAGCCTATGGAGAAGAAAATAAAGGCTAAGGAATAAAAAGTGAGTAAGGAGAGTTGAAATAAATACATAGGGCCAGGTGCGATGGCTGACGCCTGTAATTCCAGCACTTTGGGAGGCCGAGGCAGGTGGATCACGAGGTCAGGAGTTCAAGACCAGCCTGGCCAACGTGGTGAAACCCCGTCTCTACTAAAATACAAAAAAGTAGCCAGGGGTGGTGGCACGTGCCTGTATTCCCAGCTACTAGGGAGGCTGAGGCAGGAGAATGGGTTGAACCTAGGATGGCAGAGTTTGCAGTGAGCCGAAATTGTGCCACTACATTCCAGCCTGGGCAACAGCAAGACTCAGTTCTCCCCCCGCCAAAAAAAAAAGAAAAGAAAAGAAAGAAAAACGTAAAAATGCAGGCAGAAATGGTTAGATAACAGCCAAAACATCTAGAATATGGGCATCACTGCTGGAAGTTGCTTCCCTCTACCTGTAGGATTTGGGGGTATAAGGGTGTTTACATATGTTCTCTATATTCATGTAGCAGTGGGTTTGTGGCTAAGTCATACTGTTTTAAATTGTCTCTTATTAGTGCCTCCCCAAAATGTATATAAGTTGGGACATACTCGTTCCTGTTAGTCATAATTTTTACAGGTACAGAACTAGATATCTGTGAGTGACTGGTAAAATATTTCCAAATGGTACAGGTGACCATTGGACATCAGGGCAGTGATGTCCAACAAAACCCAAGAAATGGTGTTTTACTGTCAAAATGTTGATAAAAATTCAAATAAGTAAACAGCATTTGCTTAAAGACTGGCTTTGGTTTCACAGCCTCTCTTGGAATCAGGAAGTATTATTAGGTTTTGTTAATAATAATAGACGGTTTGTGACCAGTTTTGTTCTTGATTTACTTATTCAAAACATAGTTGTGGTGCCACTCAGAAACAGGTGAATTAAAAAGAACGATGTATCTTTCAGCCTTTCTGAAAGCTGCAGGAACTTTTGTGAGGAAGGGGAAGATAAAGACAAAGTGCTTCTCAAACCGTTTTCTTGGAATTTGTGTCAGAGAAGCTAGCTAAGCTTATGTTTGGGATACAACTTTGAGACAGGCTGTAAACCATGCTTTATTTCCTCTTTGCTAAGAGGTTTTTTTTTTTTTTTTTTTTTTTTTTTTTTTTT